TCGTTCTAGTATGTCAATGCAAGCGACTATAATAGTCATCCTAGTACGTCAATGCAAAGTGACTGTAATAGTCGTTTTAGTACATCAATGCAGAGTGACTATAATAGTCGTCTTAGTACATCAATGCAGAGTGACTATAATAGTCGTCTTAGTACATCAATGCAGAGTGACTATAATAGTCCTCCTAGTATATCAATGCAGAGCGATTATAATAGTCATTCTAGTACGTCAATACAGAGTGACTATAATAGTCGTGCTAGTACGTCAGTGCAGAGTGACTATAATAATCGTTATAATACATCGGTGGCATCTTATGTAGAGTGACTATAGTCACTCGTAGTATTTCGTTGGCATCTTATGCAAAGCGATTATAGTCGCCTATAGTATCAGTGGCATCATATGCAAAGCGACTATAATAATCATCCTAATACATCAATGCAGAGTGACTATAATAGTCGTCCTAATACATCAATGCAGAGCGACTATAATAATTGTCCTAGTACGTCAATGCAAAGCGACTATAATAGTCGTCTTAGTACGTCAATGCAGAGTGACTATAATAGTCATCTTAGTACATCAATGCAGAGCGACTACAATAGTGGTCCTAGTACGTCAATGCAAAGCGACTATAATCGCTCGTAGTATCTCGATAACATTTTATGCAGATTGACTATAGTCGCTCGTAGTACTTCAATGATATCTTATGTTATGCAGAGCGACTATAGTCGCCTGTAGTATCTCAATGGCATCTTATACAAAGCGACTATATTAGTATAATCGTTCATAATCTTAATCTTATGTAGAGCGATTATAATAATCGCTCATAGTATCTCGATGGCATCTTATGTAGAGCGACTGTAACAGCAACTTGATTCATCGTTGCTTATACTCGAATTTATTCCTGTTATTACCTTGGCAATTTCGAATACCGGTAAATACGATCTTTTCTCGTTACGTAGGCTATCAACGAGTCGTTGAACGTGAGCACGCTGATGCCCGTTGTCTGTTCCGGTGCCGGTACACTGATAGCCCGATACGACGAGCACGCTTTGGTCTCGAGGTTCAAATTCGGCGTTCTTCATCAACGTGCCGGCCAAGTGACCGAGGAGCAACTTTTTGGCAACAGGCAGATCACGCCTGCCTTCCAAGAATTTCTCGACTTGCTGGGGCAAAAGATCGATTTAAGGGATCACAAAGGGTCGGTATATATATATATATATATATGTACGCAAATTTTAATTCTTTTGGAATTTTATTGTGAGAATAATTTTTTTCACGGACAGATATCGCGGAGGTTTGGACACCAGACACGGGCAAACGGGTGATTCAGCGGTGTACGAGGTATTTCGAGGCCGAGAAGTGTTGTTCCACGTCGCCTCTCTTTTGCCGTACAGCCCAGGGGACTCTCAGCAATTGCAGCGCAAAAGACACATCGGGAACGACATCGTCGCGATAATATTCCAAGAGGAGCCAACCCCTTTCAGTCCAGATATGATCGCAAGCCACTTCTTGCATGCATTCATCGTGGTACAAGTCGTCGACCCCTGCACACCTAATACGAGGTATATTCTTAGATTCGTGTATGCCGTGTCTGTGTAGGGTAAGATTATGCGTGAAATTCTCGGATGAGGTCAGTTACGAAATCCCTTAAATTTCTTAACCAACATCCAAAATATATATTTTAATCTAAATCGTTTTCGATTTATTCGATCCATTTATATAAATAATCTTTCTTTTTCTATATAAATAATCTTTCTTTTCTTTTTCTACGTTTTGTCGGCGTTTATACGATATTTAATATAGAGATTCGTGTTCCGTAGGTACAAGGTCAGTGTAACGGCACGAAACGACGTTCCCCTGTTCGGCCCAGCCTTACCGACACCGGCTGTATTTTTACGAGGAATCGAATTCAAGGAATTCCTCTTGACGAAATTAGTGAACGCCGAGAATGCGGCGTATAAAGCTGAGAAATTTTCGAAACTCGAGGTAATCAATTGCTATATTAACGATAAATTGTAAATATATATATTAATTATTTTTTAAACGCACAGTTGAGAACGAGGTCAGCTTTATTGGAATCTCTGACGGAAGAATTGCAAGCAAAGACAGCGGAATTTCTCGGCGGAGCGATTGGATTCGGAGGTGGGGGTCTAACTTTCGGAGGGAATTGTCCAGTGAGCCCAACGGCGAACGACGCATCGGGATCCGGTAGCGGTGGAAGCGGGTCCAGATTCATCGACACCGTTCGAAAAGCTCTGATATCGCGAGTTAGAAACGCGTCGACGGAAAGCGTGCCGCAACAGTTGTCGAAGAAGGGCCAGTCAGAGTCTAGTCCGCCTAGCAATCGACAATCAACCACGAAGATTAACAGCAAACGTTCGGTCGAGCCCTCGAGTCCCTTAGGCTCGCCCGATTTAACCCTTAGAAGGGATTCGGAGCGTGGAAGCCCCAGCTTGGGTAGCCAGGACAGTAGTTTGTCGAACACGGATAATCAAGACAGCAGTTTGGCCACTTTGCAGCAGGACGAGGTTGATCGTAGAGAGTCTGCCACCTCGATTTGTGCTAGCAACGATAACACGGTGGTGGACAAAATTTCGTCCGTTCAAAGACTGACCCACGAAAATTTACGGAAGCAAGAGAGGTCGGAAAAGGCGGAAACGACCCAACGTGTTATTTCGGAAAGTGACGACAGCTCGTTGAACAGCGAACTTGAATTGGATCAGGTTGTGTATCCGGACAGCGACACGGGCCTCGAATCGATGAGCTCGGCCGAAACGCACGATACAACGAGGTGCACAACCAAGGATGGCGTTTTAGAAACGGAAAACTTAAGAATGGAAGTCACCAGGCTTAAATGCGACAAATTAGATTTACTGAGGCAAAATGTGGTATGTTGCGATAAATGTTGTTACACGCTTTGTGTTACGATGATTCAAGCATTTACTTTTTTTACAGACCTGCCAACGCGATATAAAACGTCTGCGAGAAAAGGAACTTCAATTGCAGTCCGATCTCGCAGCCGCGTCAAAAGAAATTCTTCGATTGAGAGCTATGCTAAAAGAATGTTCGACGAGTATTCCATTGGACAACAACAATCAACAGACATCTACCGTTTAAAGATGGCTTTTGAGACACATTTAATATGATGCCTTTATCGGCGCGTAACTTCCCGTTGCAATTATTAGATTTTAATAATTAGTTAGGCGCAGTAGTTGAAAACTCTATAAAAAAAAATCATACTTTTTCGGAATCGATTCTTGTAAAGAAATCTTTCCGAACCAGTTTGCAAAGAGTTTGAGACTTGCAATTCAAATGCTTTATGTTATGTTTTAACAATGTGGTTGAACTTCTTTAGGTAAATTGATGACATACGCTGTATATTACGAAAGAACGGGTCAGAAGGATATTTAGAGAAAATGTTTTTGCGATATATAAATATAGGCGATACGTCTTTCGAGATATTTACAACGTAGACGCTAATTGTTACTTGTAGAAATATTTGTTTGATCTTTAACAATATTATTTATCTATTAATTTATTAGTAGACGTAAGTTAATCTCTAATAGTCAATATAATTACAAATAAATGATACATAGAGAAACACACGCAGAAACACATAAATAAAAATAAATACAAATAGGGAATGTTTGAAAAAGTAGGTACATCTTGTCATTATAATAGATAGAATTAGAATAAAAAGTAACATGGCCTTTAGACTTAGTTTCCAAAATCGAGAGATAAATATACAGAAATTAATATAACATATTTTACTTGTAATAATTAAATGTGCATAAATCGAAAGATCGATATATACATATATATATATTATATATAAAATAGCAGTTACAGTTCTCATATTGTTTTCGAATGAGATAACTGCGTATTGTCCCATAAAACAATAATATAAAGTGACTGGTATAAATACCCATACGCTTTATGGGTTTATAGAAATATGTGTTTTATCGATATATTTCTGACGTCTCACATTGAAACAAGGATATGTATCGTTAATTACAGTATTCGTCGCGGTGAATTTACCGAAACCATTACTAGTTTTTTAGTATTAGTCTGAAACAACTTTTAACAAATATAAAAACACCTCGTTAGTTAAATCTTCCGGCATCATTAGCCAATGTAGAAATAAGATTAGATTTTCTAACCGTTTTCACGGTTGTAATGATTTAAATGCACCAAATTGTTTAATAACATACGATATATCGATGTGTCAGTAACATACGAGTAAGACACGTATTACCGTTCATTGTTCACTAATACGCAAAGTAAACTAAGTGTATCTCGTTTGCTTAGTTATGCACCGTTTTCTTCATTATCTTTCACAAAATGGTATTAGTATGATTTATTTTTATTATTATTAAAACTACTGCTATTATTATTACATTATTAATATTATTATCATCATCATTAATTATTATTAATTTCGTTGTACTTTACATGTTTTTTTTTCTTTTTTTCTTTTTTTCTTTTTTTTTTTTTTTTTTGTTAAATATTTGGCTATCTTTCTACGTGGAAAGATCGAAAATGTTGAAGAAAAGAAAAGAAAGGACAGAGGGACTGGAAAGTTCACTCATATGTAATACCAAAGTTTATCATAGTAAAATCTACTTTTCTTAGTTTTCTACATTCCTTTTCATACCAATATTCGCCTCTAAAATCTGCGTATAAAATAGCATGTATTTTTCTCAAGCAAAGGTTTTTTCTACAAGTACAAGTTTTTTCTTTTTCCGAATTTTTGTATCTCTTTATAAATACTTTGCAGACATATTACGATTATCACTGCCTGTACAATGTCGTTTTGGACTATATCACAATTTTCCTCTTTAAATGAAATTTCTAATTTGTCATTTTCTTATATATATATATATATGACACGATTTCTTCAATTATTTGTATTCTTTATAGCGAAAAATTATTATTCGAACGAGAATCCTTATCTCGAAACGAAAGAATTGTGGTATACGAAAAAATGAAAATTTCTCGTCAAAAAAATCGTCATGTATAAAAGAACTATGTCTTGAAATCTATTTTATGACAATTTACTTTTGAATTTAGTTCAAATAATGATCTTTGTAATGCCGGCTAAAATTTTTAGCAAAATGAAACTCTCAAAAACTATACAAAAAATAGTAATCGCCGCGAACACTTTCCAGTAATGCTATTTTTAACTATCGTAAAGATGAGCACACACGGTGTATTTTATAGAGTTTACGATCAACGTATATTTACAATGTTGTTTTAGACTGAGCGAAAAATAGGTCATCCGAATATTTGATTTCGTGGAATTTCGTGTAAAAGAGATCGACTCGAAGCATCTCGACTATCAGAGAATGTATACTTGAGTATGATTTTGAATTCCAAAATATCGTTTTATAAACAAACAACTAAATGATTTGAAGAAAGCACGCACATACGTATATATATATATATACATACAATAATAAAAAAATTTGATGCTGCAGGATGTGAAAGAAATTTTAATAGCATGTATACATATATCTCACTATCGAATATAAATGCAGGTACTCACAAATTTTCATTACTGCGCATTAAATTTCATATTTATGAAGAGCTCGAAAATTAGTCGAAATTATTACTTCTACAAATGTATATAATGTTAATTACGTTTAAATAATGGGTCATTTGATAAGAGCGTCTCTTTGTCTAAAATTTCAGAGGAAAAAAAAAAAAGAACTAAGTTCATCATTCTCTAGTGTGATTTCTATGCTGGCCTTGCAAAATCAAAGAAAGATTATCTATATTACAAAGAGATATGTGTTATTATATTACGAGAGAGAGAGTGTGAGTGCGAACGAAAGAGAGATAAAATATTACTGCTACAAATATATATTTTGTATTTAATATTAATCGCCCAAATCTATCTAACAGAATTGCGAATACTATTATTCTCTGACACTATGACACGAAAGTATATATTTCTTATGACTGGTGTAAGTATTCGCGCATACTATTTTTTCTTTTCTATGCACGACTGTCAACTTGAAAATCAGTGATAATGATGTTCGCCAATAAATAAAATGATTTAAACCAATATTTTGCAATTATTATCATATGAAACAATTTATAATATAAGTAAATAAGTAAATGATTATTACAGCATATTTATTTTATTAATTTCAAAAATTTTATTGAAATAAGTGATTTGAGTTTTTTATATATTTAAATATTAATAATTTAAAATTTTTTAAAATCTTTTCATTATTAAAATAAAATTATAACAGATTAATTTTTAATGTAATATATTATCTAAATATATATTGATACAATTTTAGATATTTTAAATTATATAACTTTTATTAAAATTATCATGATTATATATTTTTACATATAAAGAGTTGTAAATTTTATTAATAATTTCATTTATATCAAGTAAATTTATTGCTACAAATATATATTACAATATCTTATTGAACATTATTTGAATTTATATTTAAATATAAAATTTAAAATTCATCTTGTTTAATCGATTTTATTTCAGTAGTCTCATAAAAAATAAAAAGTTTAATTATAACGATATTTTTAAAATCAAAATATATATATATATATATTTTCTTTCCAATACAAACAAACAAAAATCAATCTTGATCTCATAAGATAACATAGTTTTCTTAGTAATACATCAAAAAAGTTGTATTGATACAAATTTATTTATCATTTTACAAATTTACATGAAATGTTGAAAAATATTACATGTTCTTTATAATTGTTATTTAAATACAAACTTAGGATTATGCATTAAATGAAAATATTCTTCTAGAATGAACCTTTCCAAACAACATAATCGACTGATTTTATGTGGATACTAGCGCCGCAAGTAACAAACTCGTCCATAAAGTATGTTTATTATCGACAATGCGAAACAGACTGTAGTGGCGGAATGAAAATGGCTAATTGTCAGGTTCGTTGGTGCAGCAGGTGAGCGATCAATTATCGTTAATATCGGGACATTAGTTGCTTCGGGATGAACGGTGCGCAGTTTGTAGCGATCTGAGCGGCTGAAATCAGTGAAAATTGTGTCGATTTTAGTGTTGTCGAACGAGTTAATGGATTTTCTGAAGAGGTGCGTGATCAAGATTACCGCTGGAAGGCTTGTTGGCTCCTTTTTTTCTACAGTGATAACAAGTTTTCAGTTTGTTAGAAATGAGCCAGCCAATGATCATTACTCGTCTGGCTTCACTCTTGTACAGGAATCAATAACCTCCTAGAGGGAAAAAAGAACGGATGCGACGCGGTCTCAAAACATTGAGACACATCAGCAAAACGTAGATTAATTTATTACGTCCATTCAGAAAACATACGTCCACCCGTTGTTTCTCCCGTATCAGTAACCGCGCGGAAAAAAGTGATGCATGAAAAGTCTCGATATTACGAGGCACGTGTTTGTATTGGAGTAAGAGCTGCTCTGTGTGTATGTGTGCCAGGTGCACTGTTGCATCCCTCTGATGAGCGCCATGCACCGTTTAGACCATAGCCATAATGTCATCCCGAAGGCTACTTCTTAGTAATTCACAAAGGGTTCACTCTTCCGTGAAGTACAGCGCATGGATACTTTCCAGGCAATACCTAGCACGTACCTTGCTAGAGAAATATTTGTGGTAGATCCTCGGTGAATCAAGAGTATGGCTTCTGGTGCATCTTCCTTGGATAGTGCTGGAAGTAGTGGTAAGTTTCTAGTTCTCTATATTACATGTTAATATATGTTTGTATTGATTGTCTATATCTCTTATATATATATAGATTTATGTGGAAAAAAAATGACCTAATAATATTGATGCTATTACAAAGTTTATTTTAATTTCAATCTATAAAGAAAAAGAAAAATAATGGAAGCTGTTGTGTTCTGTCTATTTTTAAGAATGGAAAAGAGATATTTTTGTATGAACATTAATATATATTTAATGAGATAATTTCATTATCTTAGAATAAATTTATATTATGAAAATTCATTGTGAAAAAGTATTTTTCTTTTAAATAAAAAAAATAATGTGATATTTGAGTTAGATAAATTGAATTTTATAATTTTGAATTTAAATAGAGAATTGTAAGGTGATATATTTATAAAGAATATTTATAATTTCACTTTACAAAAAACAATGAATCATGATGCTTACATGCGTGACATAGAGTTTCTTTCCTGGTGAAAGCTAGTTAGACTTTTGATTATATTCTGTTCTACCAATTGTAGAACAACATAGCAG